CCAAAGGGGACCAGCCCCGGCGAACTCTTATTCAGTTCTGGTCCATTTGTTCCGGGCACGGCTCCGAAATTCCAAGCTCCAAATTTCCACCACATCTCTAGTTTTTTGATTCCCCATTCTCTTCGCCCATCTATCTCTCAGCTTAGAAACCACCTATTTTCCCAGCTTTCGCAAGAGAAGGATCATTTTTTTTCTTTGAGAATGGCACGATTCGCTGAGGACCCCGGGTATCTCTTAGCGAAGGATCCCAAGCTACAGCCAGCGGGGCCCAGAGCCCCGGGACCCGAGCCGCGCCCAAAGAACTTGCACTCGCGCGAGGCCCTGGAGCCGCGCCTCGCGGAGGCGGAAGCGTTGGAGGTGGTGGTGGAGGATCTGAGCCTATGAACTTGGCATGGGGGTTCATAGAAACCCATGTATAAATGCATACATATATATATATATATTATATATATATATATATATATTATATATATATTATAGCATTATGTGTATATATATATATGGATAGAACAAATGTCAAGAAGCAATGTAAACTTTTGTAGATGCGAATGACTCTGATCTGAGTCAATGGGTTCTGGATCCGTTAGTTCGAGGGAATGACCTTCCAGGTTGAACCGGAAGGGGGAGTCCCTGAAAGGAAACCATAGGGATGGTGTTTGTTGGGGTCATTCCAATGCATTTCTTGCTGAGAACCAGCAAGAAATCAAATGCTGGTTGGCGATTTGAAAGGATCCGACGCTGTTGAAAAGGTGCGAAAAAGGAGGGGAGGAGGTTGGGTTTTCGGCAATCTTCTGTGGTCAAAAAATCGGCCACCAGATAAAGGGTAGGCCTATCATGTTTTTTCCTGCTTCGGCTGGGGGGGGGGGAGCGATTTTCGTCGCAGCTTGGGTTGAGGCTTGTCCAATGGAGAAGCAATTGCTCCCACATCCACCCTTTTGAGCTCAAAAGGTTTGCAATGCGTAGTTTGGGCTCTTTTCTAAGCCAATGAGGGTTGGGGCTGAGCGAATCGACGTCAAAGGGCCCGAAAGCCCTTTTCTTCGGGCCTTTCAAAATGCTTTGGCAGATTCTTTATTTGCTAAGAATCGAAAAGTTGTAGCTTGACGTGAGTGAGGTATTCCCACAATGTTTGTTGGGTGTTGTGGGGGTGGGTAGTGTCATGTCTAACTGCCCAGCTCTGGACCAGGACTTCGTGCGAGCAATATTTCTGCATAGCTGTATTGTGCAGCAGTGGTTGTGATAGCTAGGCTACGCTAAATTTGATCGCGTCCAGGCATGCCTTCAGCTTGTTTCGAACCATGTCAAAGTTGGTTGATGTTCATTTTTCAACTAGCGCGTTCCCGGGCTCAAGTCGGCGTGACGGCAACGGGAGCGCGTGTCCACTCCAACACGGCGCGGCCATGATCTCCGCAACCGGCCTGTTTGCAACGACGGTGGCCGGCCCGCCCGAAAAGAAGCAACAAAGCAGCCGGCCACGTCTCACCTGACAATGCCTTGTTGAAACCAAAAGCCGAAATGATGTTGCGGAATGCAATCTTCGGGTGCGCGCGCGCTCAAAATATTCCCCATGTTTCGCGCGCGCGTGCGTGCGTGTGCACGCGCCGCGCGCGGCGCCTCCACACCCCCGCTTTTGTTGGACTCGCTTTTCAACGGAAAGCGCAGAGCTGTCAAGCCTTTTCTGAGTCGCATTTTGAGCCCGACATTCACAAGCCCCGCACAGGGGGTGGGGTGGAGCACCATCTCAGTGCCTCGGCATGGATGTGTTTTCTGTGGGGTTACCTTGTTCGGCCTCCAGGGAAAGCCGAAGCAAACAGCAACCACGTCTTGGTTTCGTCGTTCACCACCTTGGCCGCTGGGCCTCTGGCCGACCGCAGGATTTGCTCAAGGTTCCTTTTTGGGAGGCGCAGCAACTCAGTCTCTTGGAGGTTTCGGGAACCAACCACCCCACAGCAGCTTGGCCCTGCAAAAGCTCGCACGCCCCCGCCAGGTTTCGGGTTTCAGGTCCCAAAGGTCCTTTCGAGAGGCGCCCGGAAAGGAAAAAACAACATGGGTCGAGGTCCCTTTATCAAAAACTGGATTGGAGAAATGGCCACATTTGTGGTATCAAGGAAAGTACCCTTTGACAATTTTCATGCCAAAGGACGACGCCTGTCTCCCCCAAAACAAGGCCAATCGGACAGCCAGTCGTTTCCACCCGTTTCCGCGACCCGCGGAACCCCCCCTTACCCCGCGGGTGTGCGTTTGCTTCGCGCAGCCGCGCAGCCGCGAAGCCGCGAAGCGCTTCGCGCCATGATCCGCTACACCAAGGGAGCATGGCAGACGCCTCTCGGACCAATTGACAGCGCTTAGAGGGTTTTTGGCCTACGGCTAGAAGTCTGACTCTGAGCACGGGATTAGGCCACAATTTTTCGGGTCCCTAAATTTGAGACACATCCCTTTGTTTTTAAACACAAATCACCTTTTGGGCACATTTAACGTGAGCTTTTGGTAAGTGTACTGATGTTGAAGGGGTAAACATGGGGAGCCCTAGTTGCAGAGAAGTCAACCATTGTGTGTGTGTGTGTGTGTGTGTGTGTTGTGTTGTGTTGTGTTGTGTTGTGTTGTGTTGTGTTGTGTTGTGTTGTGTTGTGTGTTGTGTGTGTGTGAGACACAATGAGCAACAGACTGTGCATGGTAGTCTATCTCCAGTTTGGCGGCGGGGGGGGGGGGGGGCAGGGACATGTATGGCCACCCAATTTCCCATCGAAGCGGGGTGGGTGGGGGTGGGTGTGACGGGTGCCCAATGTTTCCCCTGCCTGAGGGTTCTGCTTCATCGTGGTTCTCCCTGAGAAACGGAGCTTCCCTGTTTTCTGGCTTGATGTTTAAACGTATTCCCAAGACGTGGTGGGAAGTTGGGTTTTAGAACCACTCACTCCCTGAATTTCCAGACTTTAAACTTGGGAAGACCATTTAAACGAGAAGCAACAAGTTTAGTTTTTTGTTGGCCCATCCTCTCAGGAAGTGAGACCACTTTTTATACCGAGGGATATTTTTGTTGAAAGTGAAGTCGTCATGGGAATGGTTGCCCATTTTGGAACCACCAAGGGTGATTTTCCAAACCCTGCCCAAGAAGAGTTGGACACATGGGCAAGCAGGTCACAACTTGTTTTGCCTTCCCAGTCTTGCATGCACTTGGATGAGTAGGCTACATTTTTGGGATGTTGGCCATCAGCTTGCATTTGTTCATGGGATAAGTTAGTTCCTCACAACCCTGGCTGTATCCACGACATGTTTTGTTCGTTTTTCCAAGTCTTCGACCCAGTTAGATCCCGCCTTTGTTGCATAGGATCCCCGATATATGACGTGGCTGAAACAAGAGGTTTCCACTGGTCCCTCGCGGTTTTCAATTGTGGTTTCCCTGTGCGGTTTTTCCAGCGTCCTAGTTTTCCAGTGGCTTGCGGTTTCAAGTCTCTGTTCATGTCGCTTTCAGCTGGGTCCCCCCCAAAGAAACACGGGACAAACGCACACCCACGCCTTTCGTTTCATGTCTTCAGCGGCCCTGGGAGCCCCCTTTAAACCCAGGAAGAAAAACAAAAAAAAACACAAGAACAAGAATAAATAAATAATCAAAAACGAAAAGCACCTCGCCAAAACCAACGGTCACACCGGTGTAGCCGGCCTGCGCCGCACATGTGCGCCGGGCCGCCTAATTTTCCGCTCGCGCCGCTTGCGCAAGCGCCACACCGAGGCTCTTCTTCTGGTGGGGTGGCATCAACCGCCACATCATGTTGAGCTCCGCGCCTCGGATCGGAATTTCGGACGGACGGGGCTTTGTGGCCATGTGATGGGCACCAAAGGGGCGGCTCGGCGGATTGTTTTTGGGTGTGGAGTTGGTACTTCTTGCTTGGGGGAGGGCTTTAAACGACAGACAAACGGAAAGGCCGCCATTTGTCATTTTGGGGGGGGTCCAACCAAAAGCACACACGCACGTAGGTTTCAAAAGCATGGAGTCCAGGCCTGGGTCTGTTGGAAGTAAACCCGAAGGTCTTCTTGGGTTACGAAGGGCTTGGGCCTTTCAAAGTGGGCTCCCAACAAGGCGGGATTATATTTACCTCTAAGATTTTACATATGGAGGCTTTTTGTGGCTACCTACAGAAAACACTGGATCCGGCAAGCTTTCAAGGCTCGATGCCATGAAGGTCCTCTTCCGCGGTTGTCTGAGGTTCACAAAGTCCCCAACCCCATCACTCAAACGACCTGGACAATTGCCGAATGGCTTCCCGCTCCAACATGGCAGTGCCTAGGCCCGCTTGCCAAGAGGGAGATGAATCTTTTGTGTTTGGGGTGCACCAAACGGTCCACCTCCATTTAGGCTCCATGGCATACACCGGGGTGAACGTAGGGGCCACAAGTCCCTTGACGTGGGTAACGAGACGACCAAGCCAACATGGAAGGATAGTGCCCTCCGCTTTCCCCAACTTGTTGCTCATACAGGCTTTGACTGGGAAGGGCCGTGCCACGTGCCAGATCATGTACCTGCTCTTTCTGGTCTTCCTTTACTATACGCGGCTCTGCTCTGATACGGATGCCTTTTTGGGTGTGTCGTTCTTTTTTTGAGGGTAGCACCTTGGAGAAGGCTGTTCGGCCATCACTGGGGCGCCTTTGTTTCGACTTGGAGAAAGTTCATATGCAACATCCCAGGAATGCTGCTCGTTGATACACCAGTTGCCGTTAGTCAATCTAGACGGAATTCGGTTTGATCCTTGAGGAACGTTGTGCGAGGGAGTGTGGCTGTTGTATTACAACATCCTCTGTTGCAATGTGCAAGATTACACCAATAGTGTAAAGCTTATTCAAACTAGCATATATTTTCACGCCGCATGCTTGGGAACTCCCCTCTGTTGACCCAACATGTCACACAGTACTTTGGCATTTCCTAAACCAGGTCCAAGAGGATTTCTATTGTCCCCACCCAAATCGCCGAGGAGTTGCCTGCCTTTGCGGGGCCCTGTTTTCGGGGTGCAAACACTCAGAATGGGGGACCCCGCCCTAAACAGAAAAACTAAGTTACGGGCCCATGTGTTGAAGGCCAGTCTTTTACATTACACAAGTCCCACTTTGGCATCTCATCATTTCATCTCTCCCCGCCTCCTTTCTTTCGCTTGCTGCTTGCTGCTGGCGCTTGACATTTTATCACATGGTAGGGGGCCAATCTAGACCATTCCCTGTATTTCTTTGATGTTACGGGGTCAGCCTGCGGGACATCATTTTCCAGTCGATAGGGTTTTCCACTAAACCTGCCTTTCTGGTTGGAAAGTCAAGTTGAGCCCCCTATGCGTGCCTGCAGCCAATCCTGGGTTTGGACGAGTTGGGCAGGGCTGGAGTGATGCACCTGGAGCTTATCTATT